TGGAGAGGCCGAGGAGTCTGAGGCCTAGTGAGGGGAAGGAAATGGGGGGAGGGGGGGCCGACCGACTAGACGGGGCCTGCACTGCCTGATACTGGGAAAGGGTCCCGGGTGCCTCGATATGGGGGAAGGGTCCCAGGTGCCCCGATATGGGGGAAGGGTGCCCAGTGTCTTGGGAAGCTGCCCAGGTGCCCCGATATGGGGGAAGGGTGCCCTAGTTTCTGGGGAAGGGTCCCAGGTGCCCCGATATGGGGGAAGGGTGCCCTAGTTTCTGGGGAAGGGTCCCAGGTGCCCCGATATGGGGGAAGGGTGCCCTAGTGTCTGGGGAAGGGTCCTGCGTGCCCCAGTGTCTGGGGAAGGGTGCCTCACTATGGGGGGAAAGGTCCTGTGTGCCACGATATGGGGCGAAGGGTCCCAGGTGCCCCGATATGGGAGAAGGGTGCCCCAGTGTCTGGGGAAGGGTCCCAGGTGCCCCGATATGGGGGAAGGGTGTCGGGTGCCCCAGTGTCTGGGGAAGTGTGCCTTGATATGGAGGAAGGGTGCCCAGTGGTGTATTTTGATTTTGTGCTGCCCTAGGCAACACTAACATCTGCCCCCCCCCCCCCTTCTAAATTGGAGGGGAGAGAGCAAAATATAGATAAAAATGGAAAGAAAGAGAGATAAATTGGGAGAGTGATAGAGAGATGTAAAAAGAGGGAGAGAGAGAGATCAAGGGAGGAGAGAAAGGGAGGGAGAGAAAGAGATATAGAAAGAGGGGAAAGGCAGCGATCAAGAGAGATAGAGGGAGAAATATAAAGAGAGAGGGAGAAAGATATAAAGAGAGATATGGAGGGAGAGAGAGAGATATAAATAGAGAGGGATAGAGGGGGAGAGAAATACAAAGAGTGAGAGAGAGAGGGGGGGTATATATAAATAGAGAGAGGAGAGAGATATAAATAGAGAGAGGGGAGAGAGATATAAATAGAGAGAGGGAGAGAGATATAAATAGAGAGGTATAAATAGAGAGAGAGAGGGGGGGGGGGAGAGATATAAATGGAGAGAGATATAAATTGAGAGGGAGAGAGATATAAATAGAGAGAGAGAGAAAAGGAGGAGAGACATATAAAGAGAATAGAAACTAGGAGAGGGATATAAAGAGAGAGAGAGAGAAAGGGAGGGAGAGAGATATAAAGAGAGAGAGAAATAGAAAGATAGAGAGAGAGAGAGATCTAAAGAGAGAGAAATAGAAAGATAGAGGGAGAGAGGTAAAAGGGGGAGTAAGAGCGATATAAAGAGAGAGAAATATATAGAAAGAGATATAAAGAGAGACTTGTAGTCCTCCCTGGCTGTATAGATCTCACTATATGGGGGAAGGGTGCCAGGTGACTTGATATGGGGGGTGGGTGCCGGGTGCCCCAGTGTCTGGGGAAGGGTGACCCGATGAGTAAGGGTGCCGTGGCGAAGGGTCCTGGGTGCCCCGATATGGAGGAAGGGTCCTCAGTGTGTCCCCTGTGGTGAGTGTCCCCGATTTGGGGAAGTGTCTGGGGAAGGGTGCCCTGATATGGGGGTAGGGTGACCCAGTGTGTGGTGAAGGGTCCCGGGTGCCTCGATATGGGGGAAGGGTGCCCCAGTGTGTGGAGAAGGGAGCTTATTTAAGAGACCAAAAAATGGTGTGTACTAATTGCGATGTTTTGCTTCTACAGGAATTTTGTGGGTTTTTTTCCCTTCAGCCTGTAGAAGCAGCTGTATGTTAGTCTATGTGTCCATGCACATTAGGGAGTTTACAGGCAGATTGTCAGAGGAATGTTTAGAGGCAGAAAAAAACCCAGCAGAATCACATTTTGGAGAGGAGCTTTCAGGCTGAAACAATGCTTAACATTCGTAAATTTAGGACCGTTCTGTCTTCTCAAGTGTACATTGTTTATAGCGAAAAATGAACAGAAAGTGGAATGTTTGTGGAAAAAAAAAATCTCATAAAAGCAAATGTCTATTAACTCTCCCAAACTCTTGTGCAGTACGAGCCTCTGAGCATTTTTTTCTGCTCCTAGCGTGGATGGACCCTGAAGCACATCTGTTACTTTTTTTTTTCTAAATGCCCATAAAGAAGGAATTATTGTTTCTGCCATCAGTGCTACAGATCTTCACTCTCTAAGGCATCTTTCACATGGGGCGGATTCCGTCAACTTGATCCGCCTGCTCAGCAGAGGATATGTCTGCTGATCCCCGCTGAGCAGGTGGATGATAGGTCTGTGCCCGCTCTGCTTGTGCAGAACAGACACGACCACAGCCCACTGTTCTCTATGGGGTAGTCTGTTGAAAATGGACCGCCTGCCTGTTTTACATCTGACTGTCATCTGATCCTCTAGACCTCATGCTCGCATCCATCTGTATTTGGTGGACAGGACTGAATGCAGACGGGTGTAAATGGAAACATGTCCATTTCCACCTCCCTATAGAGAACAATGGGTAGTCCAATCAGGTCTACCTGAAAAATGGACAGCGGACCCGATCGGTCCACCCATGTGAAAGGGGCCTTATGGAGATAAGTTTGTTGTGGTGGATTGATGGTCCTGTGCTGCACCCAAAATATAATGTAGAGGGCAGAAGAAGGGGGGCTTTCACAGGTTTATAGACCTATAATAGTGTTTAGGCCTGGCATTTAGCTGTTCAGCACCTAGCCCTGCATTGTCGGAGGTAGGTGTAGAGAATCGCAAGCTCCCTGTTGTCTAATATTACTGGGCATTAACTTCGGTTTGTTGGGCAGGGTAGCAGGGAGAAGAAGTATATCAGTTTGGTGAAGGGGGGTGGCAAACTGGTACTATGAAAGTATGACGCCAACCATTACTTACATACCCTTTAGAAATTTCTAGTTTTCTGGCTGCCATACTGGACCAATGGCTTGCATACTTTCTAGGTTGCTCAGAAGTTCTGACATGTTCTGCATGTTTTTTCTAGGTTTTGGCTCAGAAAGTTTTGAGGCCAGAGAGCCTGGGGCATTTTCAGAAGCATGTCAACAACAGCAGCCTTTATAAATCCCTTAGTAGTAGATTCTTTTAAGAAAATAGAGAGCAAAATGCTGTCTTCTCATTCTGAAAATGCTAATTGCCTGACTGTCTTGCTGACAAAACATTCAAGACCCTGACCAGGAACAATAAGTGCAGATATGAGCTTCTGACTTATGCATCCTTGTTCCAAGTCAGTGGTTCAGTTACTACTAAAGACAGTGAAGTTGGTTTACTTAGATGTTTGGGTTTGTAGAAAAACAGTCATACTCACCAAGGGGGATGCTGCACCTGTCTTCTAAGACCAAGAAGTGAGCGATCAATGAGTGCTGATCGCTCAGTTCTCGGTCTTCACTGAGCACAGAGCAGCAGTGTTAATTTTGTTGACAAAAATATTTTAGTTATAGTGTTCATCAACTTCGTGTTTTTAATGACGAAAACTACACAAAAATAAATTTAAAATTAAGTCAATAGACGAAAACTGTTGAAAATCAATTTAAATTTTCATTTAGTCCACTAAAATCAAATGGGTTTAGTTAAATCGCAATACATTATTTAAGCATTTCTCTAGGATTATAAGAATATAAGAATTTCTAAACTCATTATATACTCCTGGAGTAAAAATCTAATATGGTATTAAGGTTTTTGAACATGCACTACAGACACAGATTTAGCTGTTGTGATATATAACATCTTTGTTAATAAAATTAAGTTTCATAAACAAAAATATTGCTTTTTGATAAACAGAAGTGCAACTTTAATAAATAAAAAAAAAAAAAAAAAAAAAATATATATATATATATAATAAAAAAAAACACTGTATACTCTATTGGCTGTAATGCCAGGCTACAAGTGGGGATGGGGAAGTAAATGGGAGTGAGGGAGTGCAGGATGCATTATACTTTGGGGACAGGGAGGAGATCTGCAAATGGGGATGGGGAAATAAGTGGGAGTGAGGGAATGCACAGGGCAGAGAACTGGACGGTCCGGGGAGGCAGTTATTTTACACAGTGCGAAGCACTGCTACCTTGCTGGGAGAGGAAACCCTCACCACGTCACATCCAGACAGACATGAATCTCAGTTCTTCTTCAGTGGTTTACAGGGCATTGTTCCAGAACTTGCAGACAGAGGGAGCCAATACAGCTTGCCAATATGGACGGGGCTGGAGCTTTTAACAGACAGGTGGAGCTTTGAAGAAAGTGGAAGTTTAAGTGGGTTCTAGAGATTTAGTCAACTAAAATGAACTAGAGATTTTAGTCAACTAAAATTAAAATGGCATTCTAGTTAAAACAAAATTTAAATTTAATGTCAAAATTAACAGTGCTGAGCGGTGACTGTCAACAACTGGTTCTCTGCTCCACCCCTCCAGCGCTCATTGGGGCACTGGGCTGTGGAGGGTGCAGGAGCGGCTGGCTCAGGTTTTCAGCGGCTCGATAAGAGGTTGAGCCAGCTGCTGGTCCAGGCATTTTGGGTGGATCTTGGAATGCCTCAATGACATCAGTTGACAGCAGACTTTAGCCCACTGTCAGCTGAAAGCATTTTATAATGTAAGCAGTGATCGTCTCTATGTGTACATTCACTCAAATGTGTGTAGTTTTGCAAGAAAATTATTTTTGTATTTGTTCTGTGTCAGTAAATTAAAGTATTCAAGTCAAAGCATCATTTTGAAGATTGCCTGGGACCAGAAGAGGCCCCCAATAGCACTCTATATAGTGCTTTCATGACAGGTTTGAGAGTACACGACTTATTGCAGTTGCATAAGGTGATAAAGAGAGAATTTCAATGAAAGCACAGCATAAAGATAATGAATGCATTTACATAATTAGCACTGTATGGCTTTCTTTTTACTGAGTGAGAAGTGCCAGTAAGAAGATTTAGTTTTTTTTTCTCTTAAGCATGATGCTGAAAAGGTTTGTACTTAGAATGGATGTTGACCTGAGTAGGCGTCCTTGGTTTTAAGACTGTGAATTTGCCATTGCTGTTAATGGTCTGACTGTAACATTTACGGTGTTCTGTTTTGCAGTAAATTTCTCATCTACGCGTGCTTGTTGCTGTTCTCTGTTCTCCTCTCCCTGCGCCTTGATGGTATTATACAGTGGAGCTACTGGGCGGTGTTTGCACCAATATGGCTATGGAAACTAATGGTAATTGTTGGAGCGTCTGTGGGAACCGGAGTATGGGCACGAAACCCCAGTACAGGTATTTTAACCACTGTTCCACCAGAGCCATTTTTTTTTAGATTGTGCACCCATGTTAAAATGTAAATCTCTTCAAATCTCTAAACATTATGTATTTTCTGAAAGCAAATACCCTGAACAATAAAATGGTGGTGGATGCAATCACATCTTAGTGCACGTTTATCAAATGCATGTTTTCTGTACAAAACGCACTCTAGGTGCAAATAAACACAGTGGGGTTAATTTCCTAAAGGAAAATAGACTGTGCACTTTTCAAGTACAGCTGCACTCCGTTTCCATAGTGTATAGTGAATGTGGTGAAGCTCTGCTGATTTCCATAATCAAATCAGGTGCAAGGAAAAATGCTTTCTTTTTTTTGCACCACATTGGGTATTCTTTACAAAGTGAAGCTTCAACACATTCATTAAGCTCTGGGGAAAATTAGTGCAACTGCACTTGGAAAGTACTCACGTCTACTTACCTTTAGTAAATCAACTACTATATTACCCACTTTTTTTAGTACATTCTAAAAGATGATGGTGTGTCAAGTAAATAGATGCCAAATATGTTGAGACTTTAAATTGCCCGTGAAGTGGCAACACACTGCTGTACCCCAAATTGTCCTTAGGTAATGCTTTCAAAGCCTTTACAGGTTCAGTTTAAGTTAATTAAAACGGGTCTATTAGATCCCTAAGGTTACTTCTAAACTTCACAGAAACTGTTCAAAGCACAGATCATTCAATTTCATCCCTGGCCATAGCAGCCAGTGAGTAATGGAGAACCCGGAAGTGATGTAACAGTGAGGGGAATGTTTGCTGATCTCCCTCTGCTGTACTTGCCATGATGGCCTGGAAAACAGTATGTACTCTCCAGTGCTCCAGGGGATCAAATGCCAAAGGAAGGCCAGGGGAACCAGGACCAAGATAGCCTCTGATAGCCTTTCAGAGATGCTGCCCTTCTCAGATAGGGAAATCAACAACTGGAAAAGAGCAAACAGGATGCGCAAACCCCTAGTGCATTATCCAAGGTGTATTAATAAGTATAAAGGATAAAAACATACTCACAAACATAGCATATATATAAAGCTAAGTGGAGAGGTAGAGATGGCCTTAACAATAGCGGTGTCTCCGACAGTCAGTGTGGTCGGCTTTCTGACGCGTTTCTGGGACAAGTCCCGTTCCTTAGAGCTAGTCCATGATGGCCCTGGGCCCACAGTTGCACCAGCAGAACCCATTGACATATTTGAAATCCTGTTCTACCAGCTACTGTTTGTAAACTCTGCTGGTAGACATTTTTTCCCTCATTAAAATTTCCGTTAAATCAAGCAAAAGCACTTCATAAGGCATTTTGACCCACGCTGAAATGTAATGCAAATACATTGCAGCACAAGTTAAAATGCACAGCAGTGCATACTCTAAAATGCATAGTCTTCCAGGGTCCCTTAAAGTGACCAAAACTGAAAGGAAATCTACCCTGTGAAAGAAGTAACTTTATACTTGCCTGTTTGCCAGTGTGTTGAAACTTCCCACTGTTGAAGAGATGTTGGCATTGCTGCTGTATAATGCTTTGGGTTATATGAGATATCATGTCTCCCGTTGGGTATCGTGGTCAACCCCCTCCTCACCACCACCCTCTTTCCTTCCCCACTGACCACTATATTACAACCACACTACAAAAATTACCCTCTAAAGGTAATTTTCTGCTCTACCAATAATAATTCCAGACACTTGGTCAAATAAATAGTCAAATTTAGTTGTCTCAAAAAGCACGTAGCTATTTACACTGAAAACATAAACCTGTATAACCCCCATCCATTGGTCAAATATATACCAAATGTGCCAGTGAAAAAGGAGTCCTGTGCTGGAGTTACCCAAGTCACAATTGTATACAAAAAATACAGATTAAATTGTCTATGCTATATTAAATGTGCTAGATATATTGCAGTGGAGGCTATAGCAAACGCCCTAGAAAAGCAGTCCTATACAATAAATCTAAGTTGCATGCATATTTTTGTCTAAAGTATTAACATATATTGAAATTAGTACTGCGTAAAGTGTGTATTAAATACCCCAAGTCTGCCTGCGGCTACCTGTATGATCCAAAGAGGGTGCCTCCCACGGCTAATACTGCAGATGAACTTCAAAACAGCATGACCAACAGAGATGAAGGCTGCGCACATATCCTGGCTCTAGCCTCTCTAGTCTAGTGGTAAATTGGTGGTTCATAGCACTTCTTAAAAAGCCCAGTAGTCCATGATGTAATAGACCACCAATTTACAGCTTTTGATGAAGTGTTTGAAGCCGTGATTTGCATAGAGCTATCATCTTCATCATTCATGTCTTATTAAGTTCATCTGCGGAATTACCTAGGGAAGGCACAGTGTTTGAGTCGTACAGGTAGTGACACTTTGTAGCCAGATTTGCTTCCAAGACTTTTGTATTCCCATCAAGAATACACAATTACTCATCTAATTAGGACAGCTGGCTTTGTGCCTGGTGGTTAGTCTTCCTACAAGATCATTAGGGTGTTGAGTTCCCTTAAAGAGAAGTACCACCCAAAAGGGAAAGCTCTGATCGTCGTGCCCCTTCCCCTTACTGTCTTCTGGGACACTTCACAGGTCCCAGAAGACTGCTAGACCAATCAGGAGGTGCAGCACGACTGAAGCCGCAAGCTGTCACAGCCTGTTGCCCACAGTTGTGATGCTGGCGCCAGGGAGAGAAGGGACGGCACGGGTGAGCATATTGCTGGATCTTGGGACAGGTGAGTGTGTGTTTATTAAAAGTCAGAAGCTACAGTTTTTGCAGCTGCTGACATTTAATTTACACAAAATTACTGGAACTCCGCTTTAAAGATGGATTTTCATATTAATGTCTCAGATGAGGGGAATGTGATGGAGTTTATTATTACCTTTACCTTTTAACCAGAACCCAGTAAAACTCTAGTCAATACAAGGATAAGAGTATTAATTGTTCAGAACAGGCAAGATGTTTATAGTTATGAATGTTTTTTTAATATTGTATGTGACGTGTTCTTTGTCATAGATCCTTCAGTATGCTTTCAATGTGCAGTCATCTTCTTCCGATATTTGCTGTAATGCCTTTTCTCTCTGATTCTGCAGGGCAGAAGGTGAAACCTGTGTGGAGTTTAAAGCTATGCTTATAGCGGTGGGGATTCACCTGCTTCTCCTGATGTTTGAAGTTCTAGTCTGCGATCGAATCGAGAGAGCAAACCACTACTTCTGGCTCTTGGTCTTTATGCCTCTGTTCTTTGTGTCTCCGGTTTCAGTTGCTGCTTGTGTATGGGGTTTCAGACATGACCGTTCTCTAGAAGTAAGTAAAATGGGCCTAGTATAAAGCATTTCATATACTGTATGGTTGTTTTTGTACCTTAATAATCTAGCCAAGAGGATAACATTATGAGGACAGTATTTATTAAGCCTTGATTTAAAGTGAAAGAATGTGCTTCTTTTATTTCTATTATTTTCCTAATAATGACTGCTTGCATGCCCAGTAGGTGATGGATTTGTCCACAATCCACAAAAGTCTAAAATTACCATTATTGTCTGGCAGTTAGTCAATAGAAGATTATGATCCTGAAATATTTTGCCGGTATCCTGCATATATTTGTGTATGTACTTTAGGCCTCGTGCACACAGGACTTTTGCCAACTCTCCTAGAAGCCTTTCCTCTTGGCAGCATTTTTGGCAGAAGAAAACGCCTGGAGCTTGTAAAAGTGTGTAATACGTTAAGGCGCACCGAGAGATTTGGTATTCATTCATTTCATTGGCCAGAATAATTTATTAGCACAAAAGTGCAAAACACGTCCAACATTAATACATGTTTACAGGTATGGAGCGTTTTTTTTCTGCCAAAACGCTGCTGCCCCTGGATGCGCTGGCAGTGAGGGTTTTTTCTTTTTGCCTCCAAAGTCCTCTAAAAGCCTATGTATGCATGGACATGTAGGCTAACATGCAGACGTGTTTAGAGGCAGAGAAATAAAATCCTATGACCCTAGGAGCAGCTGAAAAAAAGTCCAATGTGTATTAGCCTTTGAACTGCGGGTTCTTGATTTCTTCAAAAAGAATGAACAAATTGTTTCAGATATTGCCTAGATTTTCCTATGTAGATCTGTCTGCTGCTGAGAATAATACAGTCCAGAGATCCAGGTAATAATGATTTATAGGTTGTATTATTCTCCACAGACCAAACAAGCTTGCAGAAATAAAATTCGGGGAAGCACAAAATGTCACCTAAATCTCTACTGACAATGAGGAGTTAGGGTCTTAGGATGACCGTACAGTGGCTGAACAAAATAAAACAGACTGCTTAATCTGTCTACACAAATGAGGTGGAAGGGGGAGGGATCCCCCTCGAAGGAACATCGAATTCTGACAGCGGCACCTGCTGCTGTTGGATTACACTGATCAGCGGCTGCAACTGATTGCCAACAGCTGCTGATTGAACTAAAAAAAAAATTCCAACATGTCCCTTGGACAGAAGTCAATTAAAAAAAGGAAATGTGACTTTGCTGTATAACACAACTGCAGTAGACAACTAATCTTACCAACCGGACACCTACAGGAGCATTGACACTGGCAAGAAAAAAAAGCTCAGAATAACCCCTCCCACTCTTAAATAACCTCAATTTTATTGTTAGGGACGTGGAGGATGGATGCCTTTTTTTTTTCAGCGCTAATAGGAAAAGTGTAACCTTTTTTTGCTAGCTATTGATGAAATATATGAAATCAAGATTTATGCTATATTGCCACTAAACTGGATTTTATGTGGAGCTATTTAGATAGGCTTTACCTAATCCTGATCTTGGAGTCCTCTGGAGACCGGACGTGCGGGGCTAGCCTGGAGTGTAACGTTCCGACACTGGGCTCTAGTGGGCCAGACCTTTTTTGTACTGGAAAAAGTTGCTTTCCCAGTCCAGAACCATGGCAAGTCTTGCTTGTACTGGGTACCTCCAGCTCATACTCCACTAACAATTCTGGTGCTGCCTGTAGTGTGTCTTCTGAGGTGTCCAACACCAACGGCCTATAATTATGCCCTCTTTGGAGTCTTTCCTAGCTTCCTCGGGGCTTGCACCCTTCCTCTGCTCTATCTAGAGAGGATTTCACTGCAGTCATGCAGGATTTTATGTGCCAAATGGAATGTATTGCTGGCTTTTTCTACAAGGGCCATAAATGCACTCCCACACATTCACAAGCAGAATCTCTATCTGATGTGCCCTGCAGCCTCTGAACCTTCTTTGTCTGTTGCAGTCCCTGAAGATGAACTTGCACCTGTGGTGTCACAGTGTTCTCCCATTACTCCAAAACTGAAAACAGACAATTTGACTCTTATTTATGGAGTACATACCTCCTTAAAGCTTGTGGGGTGGCTTGTTGCCTCTACTAGTGCTGTCCCCATCTGGGTTCCTTTAGAGCTTCCAAGTCCGCCAAGACCTTTCTGGTGCACCTGCAGTTTGCAGTCTTCCTTAGTGACAGGATTTTTGTACCTCCCAAACATCAGCCTTGTAACTGTTTGAAAAGGATGTGGTAAGTGGGCTGCCCCCTCTGTGGATGTCCCATTTTAACAATCTGCATCTGCAATTCCACTTGAGGATGCACTTGTCTTTAAAACCCCATTAAAGGCTGGAGGCCTATTCCAGAGGTTTGTTCTCCCTGAGAGGCCCTGCCAAGACCTTTCTTGACTATGACCCTAATCTGTTTTAAACCCCAGCTGACTGGGCAAACGCTATTAGAAGGGATCTAAACACTTTGGCAGTTGATCCCTTTGATCACAGAGCTTTTGGAACCCATGCCTGCAGCCCTGAGCTACAGTGTAGATGAGTTGTTGAAGGTCTCCTACCTCACCTCCAGAATGATTCTTCTGTCGGTGAAAATAAGGAGGACTCTTTAGGACCACAGAGCCTGCATTTAAAAAGCACTTGCACCACGTGACCTTTAGGAGAGCATCCCCAAGGAGGCATCCTCCCTGAAAGGATGCTGTCAGTGGCAAGAGTACTCCTCTTCTCCAGGAAAAAGAAGCCTTTGGGGTCAGTCTCAGAAGAATCACTCCTCAACAGAGGTCCAGAAAAATCCTTTTTGTTACTGCTTGTTCTCAAACCCATATTCTGAACCCAAGACTATCACTCAGTTTACTTTCAAGTCTTGGGCTTGCAATTCCCTCCATGCTCAGATAAAATCTTCTTCAATATGAGGGTACGGCTCCACTGTTCCAAGTGTGGGGATGTCTGTTGGCATTGCGAATGCTTGTACATATTATTGCACCGTCCAGCCACAGCAGCTTTCTGCCTTTCGTAGAGGTTTTTGCAGGCTGCCAGCAGAAGGGCTGTATGGTGCAACTGTGCTTTTGTTTGCAGCAGAATGCTAACATTTTGTTGGCTGTTTCCCACCACGTAGGTGGACTGCTCTTGGAGGAATGCTGGGAGAAGGAGGGTTATCCTGGGCTTACTGTGTCAAATGCTTCTGTAAACCGCAGTATAACTGTCTAAAACGTCCTGTGTCCCTCAATGGAGTCCATTAAAAGGATTAAATAAAATTGACAAGTGGCTATGTTCTTCTGAGAAATATATATATGCTCTCAAATTATGTTTATTGGGATATAGAAAACTGTTTTCATTTTCCCCTCTTTTGCAGTTGGAGATCTTGTGCTCTGTTAATATATTGCAGTTCATATTCATTGCACTAAGACTTGACAGCATCATCACTTGGCCATGGCTGGTAAGCATTTTTTCCCCTTGATTAAAGCCATGTGTGTCTGTCACAGTTTTAGCATTCTTTTGCATAGCTTAGTTTTAATTAGTTACACATGGTATTTTTTTATTTATGATTTAACTATTTCTTTTCTATTTAGGTGGTGTGTGTACCCCTCTGGATTCTTATGTCCTTCCTGTGTTTGGTGGTTTTGTATTATATTGTGTGGTCCGTCCTTTTCTTGAGATCCATGGATGTCATAGCTGAACAAAGACGGACACATATCACCATGGCGGTTAGCTGGATGGCTATAGTTGTGCCATTACTCACTTTTGAGGTATTTACAGTGGACAATGTAAACAAATCTTTCTGATGCTAATATGCTCACATTTAAATGCGATTGAACCAAATGCGTGTAAATAGTGGATTGTAAGACTTGCCAACTTATTTTGAGCCAATGGCCTTTTATATATTGAGTCACTGGCTTAGAACAAATATGTAGATCAGATATATCTGAGAAGAGACAAAAGTTCTTACCTGCATTCTTGGTCTGGGCCAGCACATTGAAGCGAGAATGTCAATATGACAGCCAGGCATTTTCACAAAGAGAGGTTAGCAGTTACAGAGCCCCTTTGTATATCTTACAGGATTACTTTAAGTCAGCTGATGTTAAAGCCTAACTCAGGGCTTCCTCACGCCATCATCCTGTGATGCACTGATTTCTCTTTGGATCTTCATTTGTAGTGGATGGTTCTCAGTGATGCAGAGCTGCAGTGATGTGATGACGTCAGCACTGCTCTCTGCATCATTACAATGCTGTGACAATGTTCCCTCAAGGGCTGGGCCCAGAACACCCTGCACTAAGTATCTTCTCAGTGCTCCAGGTTGAATAATGCTGGGCAGTTAATATTGCAGCCAGAGCTGTTTTTTGTTTATTTCTTTCTGGGGGACATTTAAAAAAAAAAAAAAAAAAATAAAAATTAGCCGAGAGTTGGCATTTTATCAATTCAGATTTGTGTTTGTGTCTTGTGTACAGACAAAATCAGTTGAGCTTATTGAGTTGTACTGATATTATTTATGTTTTTATATCTCTTTTAGATTCTGCTTGTACATAGACTGGATGGCCATAACTTGTTCTCCTACATCCCGATCTTTGTCCCTTTATGGCTTTCTTTAATCACTTTGATGGCAACAACATTCGGGCAGAAAGGAGGCAATCACTGTGAGTAGTAATTAATTTTAATTGTATCAAAGCCTGGCCTATAGTCAAGCTTTAGATTGTGTTACATAAGTGTTGGTTAGCTCAGAGTGGGTGAGTGTTTTTAAAGTGAGTCCACGTCATTCAGAAAAGCAAAGTCCATGAACATAGATTTCTGATGCAGGGGTCTTCTCTACCAAACTACTACTGCCATGAGTTCTCGTCAGTTTTGGCATATATAACGACCATGCACACTTGTGTACTCACACGGCCTGTACACTGGATTGAAGGTTACATCCCACCCAAGACACTTGAGAACCTTCAGACTCCAGGCCCTGATCCAGGACTACTAAACCGGGGGAAAGCTCAAAGCACATCTTTCTCCACTCACATGCTGGAGTTTCCCCAACTGCAAACTTGAGTATTCCATGTCATCTTTATTTATTTCATGTACTTGTATAGCGCTGTCAATTTGCGCAGCGCTTTACATACATATATTGTACATTCACATCAGTCCCTAACCCTCAAGGGGCGTACAAGCTAAGGTCCCTAGCTTATATTCATACATACTAGGGCCAGTTTAGACAGGAATCAATTAACCTACCAGCATGTCTTTGGAGTGTGGGAAGAAACCAGAGTACCCGGAGGAAACCCTCGCAGGCACAGGTAGAACATACAAACTCCAGGCAGGTGGTGCTGTAGTTGGGATTCGAACCAACGACCCTAGTACTGCCAGGTGGAAGTGCTAACCATTAAGCCACTGTGCTGCCCTTTCTTAATCTCACACTGTGGCAGGTTCTCACACTGTTGCAATTAAGAGCCTTGTAATTGATGTAGACTTTTAGTGTTCAAATATACAGATGATTTTAAATTGCTTGGTAACCTGACATTAAATGGCTTGTTCAAACTGCCACTCACTGCATGCATTTCAGTGCATTGAGGTGCATTGCAATTACTAGCCTATTAAAAACAAATAGTCTGGAATGCATCCCAGCGAACAAAAAGGCGTGTCATGCTGCACCTTTATGAAGCGCACTAAAAAATTGAATGGTTCCATAGCATACCAATGTGTGTATGGTGCATTCCCGTGTTACAGTAATGAATGTGTTTTTTACCACGTCACTAAAAAGCGCCGGTGTGAACAAGTCCTTATTCTTTGTTGACCAAACCTCAGTAGTGATAAACTTTAATCAACATGTTGCTGATTCGCTGTCATCAAGGTACCCTTGTTTATTAAGCTACTATAAGGCCCTTTTAACATAGGTGATCCAGTCAGGCCTGCCTGTTGTTTTTTTTCAGGCGGTTTTGATTGGATGGTCCATGTATCCTATGGACTGGAGGGTGTAAACGGACTTGTCTGTTTACACCCGCCTACCTTCAATCTGATCTGGTCCGCTGAAAAAGAAAAAATGAAGGCGATCAGCCCCCTTCCTTCTAGGCAGACCATATCGAAGGGTAGTCAGGTGTAAACAGACAGTGGAGTCCCTTTACACCTGGTCGTCCATAGAGCAGAGCATGCTGAGTCTGTGTCCGCTCTGCATAAATTGAGCAGATACGAACCTGTCATCTGCCTGCTTAGCTCTGACCAGTATGTGTATATGTGTGTGTGTGTGTGTGTGTGTGTGTGTGTATGTATATATACACACACATATTTTAAAGGTTTATGCTTAAACCTTAACCCACACAGCTTGCTATGGGGGCACTTGCAGGAAGATGATGTGGACAGTTCCGGGGGAACTGCTAGAGAAGAAAGGGACCACTCTGCAAAATTGTTGCTCAGAGAAGGTAAGTATGAACTCAGGAGGTTGAATTGAAAAAAAAAATACTCCGATTCTCCCATTCATAGACTTGATGTGGATAGAATAGAGTAATCACTCCTGCTGTGCTATTTTGTTCTGATGAACTGGAGCCTTGCCTGCCCTTGGAACACTCTAATCCGTGTTGTCACTGATCATTTGGGAAAAACACAACCGTTGGCTGTACAAAAGTTGATCAGTACATCAGCCTGTGTACAACCAGCCTGCCCATGCATGGATCGAAATTCAACCAGTCCCTGCTGAACTGGCTGAATTATGATCCATGTATGGCCTACCTTTACTCACAAAGTTGTATTCCTTGTTGCCATGATATCTGCGAAGTGGGTGTTTGAGCTGTCAGCCTTTTCTTGCAAAGAACCCATTCTGGTCTTACACAAGAACAAAGGGTGATGAGACCCTGAACTTCTTGCCTACTAAAAGTAGTTTTGGCCTTTCACCTTAACCGGGTCATTGTTCTTCCATCTTTCTGTCTGGCTCCAGTTCATCTGAAAAATTTCCCTTGATTGCCTATAGTAATCTTTCCATCAGAAAGACTGACTCTATAATTCCTGCGGGTCCCTGTAAGGGTGGACCTGGCTTCTTGTTTCCATCATTTCACGGTGGATCAGACAGACCATCTCTCAGGCTTACAGTCCTAAAAATCATTAGAAACATGACCTTTCCTGTCAAGGCATATTCCACTAGATCTGTAAAACCTTCCTGGGCACTTCAGCATCAGGTTATGGTTTGTCAGATTTACAAGCTGCTACCTGATCTTTTGTTCAAACATTCTGGTTCTACCAGGTGGATGTTCAGACTGTTGCCCACTCCACAGCTAGACTGCTTTTGGACATCTCAACAGTCTAAAGCAGGCCATACAGTAAGCACATTTTCTTTCCTGGAAATAAAATTGCTCAATTTCCCCCTTCCAACACATTCAGTGTTGATGGGATGAATTCCCCAATCCCCCCCTTTGCTAGCAATGGATCAACTTCAGTACAACCCGCATGCTCATACATGAATTAAAATTCGTCCAGTTCAGCAAGGACCTTCGATCCATCGATGAATCATAATTTGGGTCTGGGAAGGTTTGACAAAGATGGAAGTGCCTTAGCACAATTTGGAGCATATGTGCCCACATGTATAGGCCTAAAAGGTATTGGTTATAGTTGCTTTCTCCTAACAAATCACAATTTGTTCCAGGGTGGTTTGGCATTCGGAAAGACTTCTGTCAGTTCCTGCTAGAGATCTTCCCTTTCCTCCGGGAATATGGAAATATATCATATGATATTCATCATGAGGACAGTGAAGATGCCGAAGAAACGCCTGTACCAGAACCTCCCAAAATTGCCCCAATGTTTCGAAAAAAGACTGGCGTAGTAATTACACAAAGCCCTGGCAAATATGTTGTGCCTCCACCCAAGCTGAACATTGATATGCCAGATTAAAGGGACTTCAAGAACTTGCCTAGGAGTACTTACCTGTTTCCAGCCCGAAGGTAAAAGCAGCTCTTCACAATGAGACCAGATTATATACGCTACTGACCTCACTTCAATTTTGTTTTTTTGTTTTTTTTTTTGCTTTGTTTTTAAAAACTCTATTTTTAAAATGCAGCATAACATTACATATCGGTGCTGCTGCATTGAAATCTTCTCTCCCTGACCATGTCAGCTCAGCTAACAATCGATCAATGTAGCTATTCATTACATGCTTGGACATCTAAGAGAATAAATTAATGTTATTGTGAACTGCCATTTGGCATACCTGTAAAGGTTATTCTTGTGTTTGACGTGCAGCTATTATGCAAGGCTCCTTCTGCTTTGGATAAAACTCTTGCATTACCTACTTTATACCACTAGTGTATTTTTATGTATGAAATACTGACCTATTAAAACCTGAGCACTGCTTCTGTAGTAGTAAACAGGGAATCTCCATTCTGGACCAGGATCTCACTTTTCACCTGCCAGAGAAACTGAATAGAGCAGCCAATCAATTTAAAAAAAACATGCCCCATGAGTGCTATTATATGTAGAGGGCTGACTTGAGTCTACAAAGTGAATTTTAACAATAAAAAGAAGAGTTGCATTTGCTTATAAAAGGAAATCAGGGTGGAGGGAGCAACCTTCACCCTTTTTAGAAGTCAAAGGCAATAAGGCACTATAAAGGATAAATTCACCTTTTGTAACATGTTACAGCCGTATTCAGGTTGTAACATGTTTTTGTCTCAGTAGCTCCTCTGCACTACCCTGATCCCGTTGTGACAGCCAGCCGGGGATCATCTACCTGCACTTGCTGCCACAATTCAAAACAAAATGTGGCTGTGTGGGGCCCCACCCATTCAGTTTGTCATTCATTCATAGAGTTCTGCAAATGGGAGAACTACAAGTGCCGCCCTTCCAGCTGTCGACTTGTAGTAATTCTCAATGAACTACCAAGGCGCTGTTGAGCCCTCTGGTAGTTCGGTGATGCTTCCTGTCAAAGTGTAACTGCCCTGCCTGCCTTTACGAGGTATGAGTAGACAGCTTACACCGGCAGTCTGCAAGAGCCCTGCATTACACCCGTGGTCTGCTGATCGCAGGTGCAATGTTTTACAGGCTCCTATAGCAAAAAAAAAAAAGGCATTTTATTTTTTACCAAGGTGAACTTATACTTTAAATTTAGCCTGAAAAAGCCGTTTAAAAAGAATACCTACAAAAAAATTACTTGTTGATGTGCCTGCCTTAGAACTTAAAATCTATCCTGGACAGCTGATAGGCAGCTGCATTTAGAAACAATTTGCATATGTATGGTCCTTGAGGGAAGAATCTTTGAGTCAATGATCTGGAACAAGTATGCAGCCAGTAAAGTCAGCAATCCTGTTCTGCATACTTGTTTTGGGTGAGTGATTGTTATAAAGCCTGACAGCCAGGCATTTTGCATTTTTTAGAAGGGGATTAGCAATGACAAGTTCTATATTTCTGTATGACAGTTTTTCTTAACATATAAAAAGGCCATTTTAATGTCCTGGACTATGTACTTCTTAAATATGACACTCTCTGACTTTCCAGTGCTTCAATAAAATGTTGGCAATCTCCAGCACTTTGCCACAAAAAAGGTCAGTGGGCCCCCCAAAAAATAATAAAAATGCCCCAGTCCTTAAGTTGACATTTTGTTCATGTATTCTCCATTGACCATCTCGACGTAGAAATACCCTCTGATGACACCTAAAAAGATGCTAGCATTTGAGAAGCAAGCATTGACCCAATCCTAACCCTAGGATGATTATTATAATTATTTGTTTTTTTGTAGGTATTGCAGCCTTGCTTGTTTTGTATAGTATTTATAAAATTGTTTTAGCAATGTAATATATTCTGTTCAAATTATACTTGTGTACAGTATAAAATGTTAAATACAAAATATTTTTTTAAATAAGATTTGTTTGTAAAAAAATAAAGCTTATGTTTCCAGATTTGTCATTTAAAATTTACATTTTAAATATTGTCAGATATGTATCATAAAAAAAAAGCCAGTACCTTGTTTGTGTTTTTTTTTCCATTCCTTTCTCACACTGATTTAGGAAATCACTATCCGAACTGAATGTTAATTACAGTTGTGTCCAAAATATTCAACCCCACATGAAATTGAGTGTTTTGGCCAGTTCTCACATTCAATCTTAGTACTTAGTACAGCATCCTTTTACAGTTATAACAGCTTTTAAACGTGAAGCATAGCTTGACACAAGTGTCTTGCAGAGCGATCTACGGTATCTTCGCCCATTCTTCACTGATTTAGGAAATCACTATCCGAACTGAATGTTAATTATTATGCACTGAAACAGTGTTGCTTGTAAAGTTTACTGACGAACCTTTAATAACAAGTTTCTGTTGCAAGTGTTCAGTAAAACTTTGAATGTCTTAAGATTTTTTGGTGTTTGGACTGTTATTTACAAACATACTGGAGCTGATTAGCAATGGAACATAATAAGGCCCCTTTTACACGAATGTTCCGATCGGGTTCGCTTGTCCATTTTTTCATCTGCTTACATCCAATCCACTAAAAACAGACCGGGATGGGGATCCATTCCTCTTCTGTCCAGCGAATCTGATCGGATGGCAGTGGGGTTTACATCCGACCGCCTATAGAGGAGAGCGGACTGTGTCTGCTCTGCATAAGTGGAGCAGACACAGACCTCTCATCTGCCTGCTCAGCAGGGATCAGATCCTCTGCTAAGCAAGCTGTTGCAGGCGGAGTCTGCCTCCTGTGAAAGGAACCTAAACTGGACATGTTGCCGAAATTAAACATTCCATTGTTTTGGTTAGTGATTTAAAACCATTTTTAAATATTTGTATACAAGGGTTGTTTTACAAAGAATTCCTAGCTCACTATGGGTTGATAAAGAGACAGTGCAGCAGCTGCTTTATCCATAGAGTTCCATAGAACTGACTTAATCATTTCTATCCATATTACAAATATGCAGGGAACTCTGGAATCACAGTACATTGCCCACTTTCAACACTCAATATTTCATTTTGGCGTGTAAGTGCTAGCCTAAAAAGTGATTCAGCATTTACAAAGCCGTTGCAGATTCTAAAGAAAAAAAAAAAAGTTGAGCTTTCTACATTTACTAAAGCCAACACTATCAATTAGGCTGTGTTCACATCTCTCTATGCCCATTTTAATGTGTTATCAAAATTGTGTTTTCATGCGCTGCTTCAGCCATCAATAGGACATTGCAGGGCAACGCATATAAACCAACTGCACAGATATGAACTACCACTTTTTTTTTTTAAGGATAACCTGTGTACAAGTGCTAATATGCTTTAAAACACAGATGTCAATGGACTCCCATATTTAAAGCAGAAATTCACTGTCAATCAACACTGACTTTTTTTTAATATTTATGCTGCTAGTATTAGTACATAGATAGGAAAACATATACAGTATTTACTTATTCTAAACTTTTTTTTTTTACATGTATTCCGTTATTGCCTGGTTTCCAGGCCTAGGAAAAAATGTCGTGTTTTTTGTTCTCTATTCTATCCAGAAAAGAAAAAAAAAAAAAAAAGTATTTTGGCTTGACATACTCTTTGGATTAGCATATACAAACAGATTAAAAATGCTTATGGCAATGGGGGCTAAACCGTTCCTTGCATCCCATTCACATGCTTTCAGTGAAAACGGTTTCTGAATTTCTTGCCATTAAACATGTCAGATAAGAATCCTGTAATAATTCAGGCTCAGTTCTTGTTTGTCTGAGCTTTTCTTGTGCTTATTAGTATGTGAAAACCGCATTGATTCTATTGGCAGCCTCTGCTGCTCGGGGCCAACATATTAATATTGACTATATGTAGCCAGTGGCTCCGAATAAGTCCTTCATATGGCAGGGAATGCGCAGAATGACCTTCATTCATTCTGAATCGGCCAAGATTATTCTGCCCATGCACCAATGCTGCAAGAATGACCCATTCAGAGCCAATATATCAACTGCTGGTCATACTGAGTGTGCTGCTTGCCACAAAATAAACTGCTAGCAGGTTTCATTAGGTTTTCACTAATCAAATGGACTACTTGTTGAAAACTTGCCAACAGCTTGCACCCCTTTATTATCTGTGTTTAACATTCACAAACTGAAGGCTGTTTGAAATCTACTGTCAGTGGTAAAAACTATTCACAACCTAAATTTTATCAGTTTAGCAGCATTAGAAAGTCAATCCACTTAAAAAACTGACATTTCAGTTTTTGTTGAAAGTTGGAGTGTTAAACCACCTGAGATTACTTATCTCTTAGGGATTGTAGCAAGTTCTAATCTACCTGTTGGATTTTTTTAAAACTGCTTTTATGCTATTGATCATGCAACAGGAAGGGGTTAGTATAATCAGAAATACCACCAAACATCCTATCTCCCACCAATTATGGGTGCTTTTGGTGCAGGTCCAGGAGCCTTTACATGCCACTAAACAAACCGTCACTTTAGTGAGCAGCCAGCCATTGCTGTATGTTTCCCCATGAAAGAGATTGTTACTTCCTGTACAGATGACAAGTGTCAAAACAAACAGGAAGTGAGGGGAAATCTCTTAAGACAATATTTAAACCAGACCAAATTATGTACAGTATGCAGACACAGACAGCACTTAAAGTGGATTTTTCACCAGTATTTCACTGCCTCCCTCTTACATAACGGCACATTGTCTTTTTTCTCCAGTTCAATAAATACCTTCTATCATGTTCAATGATATCCTATTCCTTATACCTTGCTATTAAGAGTACCGTAGGCCTTGTCCGCCTGCACGCTCCTGTTGTATCACGTCACACCTGCAGGGATTGAAATGGTGAAATATCACCTGTGTCTGCAAAGACCTTATCAATACAGGTGTGAATCTTGTACAGCCTTCTGGGATGTGTGACTTGATATTGCAGGAGGGTACAGGCAGACAATGCTATGTCACTATCACCTATGCAAGAAATAAGGATGTGGAATGGTGCTGCACATTGATATGTACCCTATGCTTTTCATGCACTGAGAAGTCATAAAAAATATAATGGACGCTTCAGGGCTTTTGTCCTCATTTCTATGTGAGAGACTTCTCTGCCATTTTGTAAAAAAAAAAAAAAAAGACTATTTGCCTGTTATCTTTATACACATTATTATTATACAGTATTTATAAAGCGCCAATAGTTCGCTCAGCGCTGTACATTACAAAGGGGGACAGAACATGTGACAGAACAATACCAATACAATACATGAGGGATCGAGGGCCCTGCTCTTTCGAGCTTACAATCTAGGGGGGAGTGGGTGGTGGCACAGGAGGAGATAGCTGTGGGGGATGGAGTGGTAGGAAGAGTGGAGGAGGTCGGCAGGTTAGCAGGGGGTGGGGTAGGCTTCCCTGAAGAGATGGGTTTTCAGGGTGCGCCTAAAGGAGAGGAGAGTAGGTGATAATCTGATGGGTTGGGGCAGGGAGTTCCAGAGAATGGGTGACACCCTGGAGAAGTCCTGGAGGCGGGCATGGGAGGAGGAGACCAGGGAACTAGAGAGAAGGAGGTCTTGTGAGGAGCGGAGTGTGTGCGTGTTGGGCGGTACTTGGATATTAGGTCAGTGATGTAGTTCAGGGCAGTATGGTGGACAGCTTTGTACGTCAGTGTTAGGATTTTAAATTTGATCCGTTGCGCAATCGGAAGCCAGTGGAGGGATTGGCAGAGGGGGGTGGCGGAAACAGAGCGGTTGGAAAGGTGAATGAGTCTGGCAGCCGTATTCAGGATCGACTGAAGCGGGGATAGCCAGTGGCGAGGCAGGCCAGTGAGGAGGGAGTTGCAGTAGTCGAGTCGTGATATGAGGAGGGAGTGGATGAGCTGTTTAGTGGTTTCTGGGGTTAGGAACGTTCAGATTTTGGCGATGTTGCGGAGGTGGAGTCTGCACGAGTTTGTTAAAGATTGGACTTGGGGCTGGAAGGATAGGTTGAAGTCCAAAATGACACCAATCTCTTCCATGCTGCTTGAATACATATTAACCTCCTTCCTACAGCCTTGGCATTTCAACCTATATCAAACTTGTGCTAGTTTTTACCTTTCGAACATCTGTTTAAACAAAACGAACATTCTGCTTTCTGAACTCTTGCCAACATGAAAAATAGAGGGTTCACCTATGCTAAACATTACTAAGAATTTTGAGACTATTTCTTTCTGAATTCAAAGTATCCATTTATTTTGGTATACTATAATTTATGTAAACTTGATATACCCTTTCTGGGATGTATTTTCTATCCATGCTAATTTTTTGATCTTTTAAACTCCTGCCCAGAGGAGAAATCCTCAAAACAATAACTACTGTATATTTGATTGTTGTCACAAATGGATTCAATAAAGATTTGCAGAAACAAATATGCAGTTATTTAGAGAGACGGGTAAAGAAGGAAATAAAGTTAAACAGTTTATTTTTATTTATTTTCTTGTTCAGTATGTTTATTGGTTTATATATTGCCGTTATTACATTTATTTTCTTATAGGTCCTTATATAGCACCTACAAGTTGATGAAAGGTCTCATTTAAACTGTTGCAGGTTATAAAATTTCACTGTTTTTCAAAACTAAAATGTTTTAACTGGAATTTGGAAAGTAGACGGAAATACTGACTGCATGACATTTAGTTTACTAAAGCTCTGTACAGTATGAACAATTTTTGTTTTCATCCCATGCTGACGATCTCCTTAAGTATTTTTCAGCCACATGCTGTTATTTATTAATTTCAGGTACTTATATAGCGCCATCAATTTACACAGTGCTTTCACACACACACACATATATATATATATATTTTACATTCACATCAATCCCTTACCCTCAAGGGGTGTACAGTCTAAGGTCCCTAACTCACACTCATACATACACATACTAAGGCCAATTTAGACAGGAGCCAATTCACCTACCAGCATGTCTTTGGAGTGTGGGAGGAAACCGGAGTACCCGGAGGAAACCCACGCAGGCACGGAGAACATACAAACTCCAGGCAGCAGATGTGGCTGGGATTCATACCAACGACCCTAGTACTGCCAGGTGGAAGTGCTAACCATTTAGCCACTGTGCTTGCATTCTAGCTCTGGACTTGCAGCCTGACAGTGGATCTTGCACAATGTGTGTCACAACAGCTGATTATTTTCTTTACCATAGGCGCATTTGACAAGGTGACAACATAGGAGCACAACTGGGAGACAACCATCATCTCAGTGCCCAATAAAGACGGCAGGATTTTCATGTATTCTTTAAAGTAGAATTCCAAGATCAACCTAACTAGTCTTATGCAGGACATAGACTGGTCGAAAATCAGCCGGAAAAAAAAAAAAAAAAACGGCCGATTTTCACACCGTTACTGGGTTAATTGGTTGGCCGTTTTTCGGGATTTTGGCACATTTTTTTTTATTGGTGAAGTTGGAAAAAAAATCGTCCGATTTTCCCGGCAATGATGGGCAAATCGGCCGATCTTTTTACCGATAAAAAAATCTGCACATGAGCCGTGACCTGCAAGAAGAAGAAGAAGAATTCCAGTCCGCTATTATATTTGACATGAAAAAGTATTGCGGTGGCAACAATGTATATTTGTACCCGATTAAAAACATCTGTATCCAAAATGGATACAAATAGATACATTGTTGCCACCGCAATACTTTTTCATGTCAAATATAATAGCGGCGCTCTCTGCAGGGACAGAATTAAATGCCGGCCGTAGATGGGACGAAAATCGGCCGATTTTTTTTACTGTTGGTAGTAACGTCGGCTTACTAAACGACTGATTTTTTTTTTTTTTTTTAAAAAAACAGCCAGTTTTTGACCCGTCTATGGCCTGCGTTAAAAATGCTCATTCCCTCCCCCTAACACCTATGCTGACTAACCTGTATATGAAAGATGTATATAACTATACATACTGCTACGGTAAGGTCATGTAATCCCTGGTCAGCCAGCACCGGCTGCAGAGCAGTGGAGAGAGCACTCAACAATGGCTAGTAAAGCCTGGAATTATGGTGTTACCCATAAGCTCCTATGACCCATGTTTTCTTGGTGCTCCCTCCTCTCCCTTGTAGCTGCTGCTGACAGACACAGTGGAGCCAGATCACATTACACTGAAGCTAGCTGAAAATAGGCAAGTATATACTGTACATCTCACAGCATAGGTGTTAGGAAGAGGGGGAGCATTTTGAAGACTAGTTAGCATAAGAGCACTTCTTTCAATAAAGTAGAATCCTGGTATAAAACCTTGTTGCTCCCTTCCCCTCCACAGATGCATACTTATTTTGAGCCACTAACTGTGGCATTTGTTGTTCGTTTACATTCAGCATCACAGGTTTTCACTGTTCTGGCTCTGCCTGCACAATACAAACCCATAGACTTTATTAGGCTTGTCTATCTTCATCTCTGGCCTTGGGATACTGCATTACAAAGGTCTATAAAGCTGTAATGCGCTGGCAAGAAGACTTGCAATGCTGGAAATAAACACTGTAGCCCAGTGTTTCCCAAACTTTTTTCAGTCAAGGCACCCTTTAAAATTATGGACAGTCTTGAGGCACCCCATTCTAAAATAAGGTGCCTCTCGACTACCCATAATTTTAAAAGGGCACCTCATTCTAAAATGGGAAAAACTATTCTAATAGTTTCATATAATGCAGCAACATCCACACATGTACGACATCCAACATTAGAGGTGATTTATTCTTCCAAAGCAAATACATTTTTGCACACTGGTACTGACTAGTATTCCCATGTTTCTCTTCTCCCTCGGTTTTTCTCCATCACTGAGCTAATGTGACCCCAGCACTGACGGAGAGGGGCAAGAGAGGGTCAAACTAGGATTCTGTGTGGGCAGCTGACTTCTTCCTTATCAACTGATGATATCATTGGTTGTCAGGACGCTGGCGGCTAGAATGTCGTAATGGTGCACAATGAAAACTTGTGGCTTTGTGAAACTTAAAGGCAGGCTTGTTCCACCTGCTGGCTTGCATACAAGTTTTGGGCAATTTTTAGACATTTTGCCAAGGCACTCCTGCAGAAACCTCAAGGCACCCCAGGATGCCTGGGCACCCTAGTTGAGAAAGGCTGCTGTAGGCTATGGCCGCTGGATTGAGTTGGGTATGCTTCTGGGGAGACGTAGGGCAGATTAGACTAAGTCAAGGGAAAAGGCCAAAATGGAGAAGTGCCATTATCCTTTAAAACAATGCTCACAATAAAATGTGAAAGCTTTTATGAAATGTATTGCTTGGGTTTAGATCTTCTTTAAAGCCGCCTTAACCTGGGCAAATACACACACCAGATTCCAGCGTGAAGAATCAACAGATTCTTACAGCTGGGAAGACAAGTGTATGCAAATAGCGGCATATGCTCAACTTGTACTAAGTAATGACAGGCTGACAGAAGCTGCCGCTGTTTGCGTTTATCTACACGCCAAGTAGTTGCCTTTGGTTAGGGATGGATGAATGTTCTTGAATGCAGGTGTGCTTGGTGTGCAGATACATGCAAACAGCGATGCTGCTTTTTTCTGCAAGAATCCATTGATTCTTTTGCGGGTATCCAGTGTATGTGTCTAATTGCCCATGTGAAAGGGGCCCAAAGGCAGTCTCTAGTGAACAACTGCATTATAATTGTACCTGCTTACTTACCAAAGACTTGTGAAATAATACACTTAGTCCATGTTCCATCCACCTATGGAATGCTACAAAACTACACAGTACAAAAGTGGAAATGTCTTTTCAGCACCTGTAGCTGTAATGCCATCCAGTTATGAAGGTATTAAATGATAGGGAACAGTCACTGTCCAAATGTCTTTGCTGCCTCTTGCTGGAATTGGTTCCAATAGCCACCTGGGGTTGGAAACAGCAGTCAGGTATTTCCCTTGTAGACCAATCAGCAGAGCTTTATTTTCAAGTTCTAAGGTGTCTTCAGTGGGCATATCATCTGCACATTGCCAGGTATCACCGATGTCAATAAGACCTGTTTATAAAAGAGGATAAACAATACATTTGTTGAACACCATATGGTAGAGTTTTCCATGCAATTCATGTAGAAAGCGGTTTTTTATTGCAGGGAAAGAGAAATAGGACTAAAATACCAATCCTGAGGAAAATGCTGCTATTGGCTCCCTGCTCTACTAATGTAACCAGAAGATTAGGCATTTGATCATGTAATCTCTGCTGGAAAGGAAGAGCTTCAGGAAAGAAAGTTGTTCCTTTCTATAGCCAAAACGTTTTTTTTTTTTTAAGTTTTGGATAGAAGGTGGAAGGACTAAAACTCCTGTTCCTACTGTGATCAGAGGGGTCTGTTGGAGAGTTTCCCTCACTTCCTGTCTGGGAAATGGTTGTCCCCAGGGCAGGAATTAAGGCTAAATCTCTCTTTAACAGCAGCATAGACTAGGGATGAGCTCAGGTATGTTAAGATAAGAGTCCAAACTTGCCTGAGTTATCCTACCAATAAGCAGTCAAAGCTGACAGGCAATCATAGGATCTATTGGAGTTGGAATTAGTCCCCACCTCACACATATGCAAGGGGTGTGTATACTGCAAGGCAGAGAATGCCACTGCCGCCTATGATTGGCTGTTGGCTTTGACAGCTTTCTCCTGGGATAGCTCAGATGGTTTTGAATTAATGCCTGAGCTCATCACTGACACAAAGATATGTAAAAATACTTTTTGAACCACTGCCCTTCTGCTGTACATACTTTATGTCCTCGGATGGGAGTTGTGCAGCCATAATCGTGGTATCTTTTTTTTTAGATCAAACAGTGGACTTTCATATAAAAAGTGATCGAGTGGCTATATAGCCACTCGATCACTTTTACAGGTAGCAGAAGGGCATCCCCCAACCACCACTCCCTATACTAGGCTCTCCCGTCCAACCAGGGGGCCCGGTACTGATGTGATCAATCACATCAGATGCACTAAAAATTTGCCCCCCTCTGTGACATCAGAAACCTGAAGCAACAAGGTTTTTGTCTCTTCCAGTTTATGTTTGTTTACAGGCCAGTACAAGCTTGTAAAGCATCTGATGATCATTTGCTTTGGAGGCCAGAGGAGAGATGTGGGGTCCAATAAACCCCGCATCTCTCCATAAAGAGGGCCTGTCATGGTCCATGCTATCACAAGGGATCGTATTAAAGGTACAGTGTAAAAAATAAAAACATTTTAGGCACCCCCTATGCTCATTTGCCAATGCAAAAGCACACTAGGGTTGCGCAGACATATGTAAACAGTGACTGCACCACACATTCAAGGAATCTTCGATCGTCAGAGCACTGATTCTAGCCCCAGACCTCCTGTATAACTCTAAACTTAGAACCTGTAAAGTAGGGGTAGACAGACTTTGGCCCTCCAGATGTAGCATACCTACAAGTCCCATAAGACATTACAGGACTCTGACAGCATGACTCCCAGAGGCATAGGCATGATGGGTAGTTTTGCAACAGCTGGAGTGCCACAGTTTGCCTACCCCTGCTGTAAAGGTTTGTAGTCATTCCATGGGTGTATGAAATTTTAAACTGTGACATGTTAAGTGTCTATTTACTTGGTGTACCATCATCTTTTATATTGTACCAAAAATGGAGTGTTATATTGTGTTTGTGTGCAATAACATTCATTAAAGTGTATTTTTTCCTGACAATTTGTTTGATAAACTGCTTTGCAAATATTGTGCAACATAAAAATTGCAACAAAAATCATTTAATTCTCCAGTGCAGCTGTGCATTATAGCCAATCAGCTTTTAACTTCAGCTTGTTCAATGAATCTTTGACAACAAAACCTGGAAGCTGATTGGTTTTTATGCAGAGCTGTACAAGATTTTGTATCATGCAATTTTTAGAAATAGCTCCAGGGCCACTTATCTGTCCCTCTATACATACAAACACCTGGACACAACGGGGTTGATTTACTAAAACTGGAGAGTGCAAAATCTGGTGTAGCTCTGCATAGAAACCAATCAGCTTCCAGATTTTCTTTTTTTTTGTCAACTCTTCTTTGAAGAAGCTGAAATCAGAAGCTGATTGGCTACTATGCACAGCTGCACCAGATTCAGTTTCATTAAATCAACCCCTCTGTCACTGATTTGCACAAGGGACTGTATGTCACTCCAATGCCTAGGCTTCCAGTCACATGACCTAAGAGCACAAGATCAAAACAGATTTTTTTTCTCCAACAGTACTTTTTTCTGCTCATCTTTACTCATACAAGACTTTACCCTATGGGTTCTAATAACAATGCGGGTAAAAAAAACAAACAAAAAACAATCAGGTAACAGATAAAATAAAACTAGAATACATACCAGCAATGACTCCCCTGCCAAACTGCTCCCCTTTATCTAAGAGTTGCTGGACCCCAGCAGTTGGCATCCCCAGTCTGTCCTGCAGAATGTCCCTCCAGTCCTGGCCATCCCAGTCCTTCACTGCTATGTGTATGGCTAGAGTGTTGTTCTTATGATCGGCCAGCAGAGGGCGCCAGCGCGTTTCCACAGTTTTCACTCCGTTCAATAGCAGACCAGCATACGGCTGCCGGAAAGACAGACAACCGAGCTGCATGACCCGCCGCCTCCGCCCCGCTCGATAGGATTATGTGTCTGGATACAAGGACAAGGTTATACAACGGTTCCTCCAACGCTGCCCTGCTCTATGGAACAATACCGCCTGAACACGCCAGCAGGAAGCGATAGGCTGCAGAGCCCTCTCCTGGTTAAGAATAGGATCAGCAGAAACTACATTTCCCATAATTCCCACTGCTTCTGTATTGAACAAGACAACTTTATTAAGTGAGGAATGTGAGCATTATAGAGAACAAGCACGTGGTTCAATCCTCAAAGCTTTAACCCCAGACTTTGTTTTCAGCCTGTTCTTGTCACATTTCATTGGACTTTACTCAAATTATCCAAGTTGTTCTGAAACAAAGATATTCGTCCTGGAATGTTAGATTTGAAAATTAAGTGGGAAACTGTAATGACTTTCCAGTGGCTGCATGCACAGGGAATGTAGACCAAGCCGGGCTGTATATTAATGTCTTGCAGTCAGGCTCATTGCATATTTTTGGGAGAAGAAACGACTATTATTATTATACAGGATTTATATAGCACCAACAGTTTGCTCAGCGCTTTACAATATAAAGGGAGACAATACAGCAACAATACAGTTCAATACAAAAGGGTTAGGAGGGCCTGATCCTGGGAGCTACAATCTAAGAAATATATTTTTTCAAATTTATATTTACTTCCATTTTAACCACTTTCCCCCGAGAGGATTTATCTCCCTTCATGACTAGGCCAGTTTTTGCGTAATGGCGCTGCGTTACTTTGACAATTGTGCGGTCATGCAACTGCACCCAAATTAAATTTATGTCCTTTTTTCCCACAAATTGAGCTTTCTTTCAGTGGTATTTGATCGTCTGCGGTTTTTGTATTTTTGTGCACTATAAGCAAAAAAAGACCGACAATTTTAAGAAAAAAATAATATTGTTGAGTTTTTGCTATTAAACGTGTCCAGTAAAAAAATTATAAAAATCAAATTTCATCATAAATTTAGGCCAAAATGTATTCGGCTACATGTCTTTGCAGAAAAAATCCCAATATGGGTAAATTAATTGGTTTACATGAAAGGTATAGCGTCTACAAATGGCGGTATATATACTGGGAATTTTTTTTTCTTACTAGTAATGGCGGCGATCAGCGACTTATAGCGGGACTGCGGCGGGCATTCTGACACTGGGGGGAACTGCCTTGGTGTCACTGACATTCGCAGTGACACCGATACAATGATCAATGCTAATAAAAAGCACTGACAGTGTACTAATGGCACTGGGCAGGAAGGCAGGGGCGTCCCTAGGCAGGTGCGGGGGGGGTTGCACGCCACACCGGGTGACACCTACCGCATGGGTTGACACCGGACCCTCTCCACAAAAAGGTAAGTTTTAAAGCAAGCCGACAATCCCCGCAGGATGGATCGGATGTGCAGATTGAGCATAATGGATCAAAGTCAGATCCATTATGCTCCCCAATCCACAGATCTGATCCATCCTGCAGGGATCATCGGCTTGTTTTAAAACTTACCTTTTTGTGGAGAGATCAGTTAACCCAGTATAGGTTGCATTCCAACGATCCCCGCAGGATGGATCGGATCTGCGGATTGGGGAGGATAATGGATCCGACTCTGATCCATTATGCTCAATCCATAGATCCGATCCATTCTGCGGGGATCATTGGAGGGGGTGTCACCAAGTGTTACCGCACCGGGTGACACCAACCCTAGGGATGCCCCTGCAGGAAGGGGTTAACATCTGGGGCGATCAAAGGGTTAACTGTGTACTGTTTTACAGTATGCTGTGTGTGTGCTTTACACTGTAAACACGCTGCTTTATATATGGCTCTGCTATGCAAGCAGTGTGCAGGAGCTGACAGGAGAGAACTGTACTGTTTACATACAGTTCTCTACCCCATCGGTAATACTTGGCGATCACCAGGTGCCAGCGAGTAATCACTGACCGGGACCCGGTGATTGACAGCTGAGGCTGGGAATGGCGGCGCGGGTAGGATATCTGCTGAAAATGCTTGTTGTCTGGCTATTTTGCTGATCGCCTGTCCTGAGGACTTTGAGTCAGATCAGAAAAATCCTTGTGAATATTTCTTCCTGGTCATTGGGTCAAAGTATTGAATCTAGGCTTGCTAGCAAGGAAATTAGTATTTTTAAAGCAGAGGACAAGGCAGCTTCCATATCTGATTGAATTTAATATTTAGCAAAACATTATTTAAATACATTTTCACATTTCAGATATTAAAGTGTTACTGAACTCAGGACCCTGCATTCACTATATCTGGTCTACCACAGTACACAGAACATGGAAATGCAATTATTAAAGTAAATATAGACTGCTAAATACCTGTTCCCATCAGTAGTACATCGCAGTCTAGTGACTTCTATCAATGTCCGGCACAGCACTGGTTAAAGCTTGTAGGAGGAGTTTTCATTCTCCTGCATGAAGACACAGGACCCCAGACCTCTGTCTGGACAGTGCTGATCGGCCCTGTGCTGATCACATGCACTCTTCCAAGAAAATAAAAACTCTCTAGCAATACACAGCAAACAGCCTCTGTTCTACCAGGAGTTATTTAGTAGACACTGGAAGCAGGGGAGGATCAGAGAAGTCAGGATCAAACATTCTTTTTACACAATGTGGAGGATTAACCTCTTAGGTTCCACAGTGAGTATAACAAGCATGCTTTACTGCATATACAGACTGATTTTACTGTTGTGGATTTAGTAACACTTTAAGATGGAAATAATAAACCCTGAAATCCTGAGACCTTGTTATGAAGGTCGGGTTTAACTCTTTAAAGCAGTAGTAAACCACAAAAAAAAAAAAAAAAAAAAATCCCCTGCAGAATAATGTCATAATGTACTAGTATGCATCACATATTATGAAAGACTTACCTTATAACAAAGCCCTCCTGCGTCACACTGGCACCGCTGACAGGGCTTCCATCTTCACCTAGGTTCACAGGCTCTGGCCGCTTGATTGGCTCGGACCCCGATGACGTAACCCCCACGCATGCGCGCAGGAGTATTGGCTGCGGCACAGAGCTCTGGGTATGCCATTCCTTTAGAGATTATGTCATCGGCTGCAGGGACACTGAATATCTCCTAAACGGTGAATGTTTAGGAGATATTTCTTGTACCTACAGGTAAGCTTTATTATCAGCTTATCTGTAGGTACAAGTGTCCAGTGGGAGTTTACTTCCATTTTAAAGCAGTATTAAACACCAAAACAAAGTGTAATATATGCAACTTAATAATTCTTAGATGTGGTGGCTCCATTAGTTTTCTTTTTTAGGTGTTTTTTTCACCTAGTGATACAGCCAGTAAGCCTGTTATTGTTCAGCTTTCTTTAACAGAACAAGCTGTCCAGCAAAAAATCTTTACATCTAAGGACTGCATTTACGGGGATGGGACAAACCATTTACCACTGAAAGGGGTGGTTACAATGATAAGCTTTTATTTACTTTATTTGATATTAAAGTGTTAATAAACCTAAGTTTAAACTAAACTAAGTAAATATAAACAAAAATATTAACAAATACATTTTCTCATCAGCAGTTAGAGCAGTCTTGTGACTTCTATCAGTGTCCAGCAGAGCACTGGTTAAAGCGGTAGTAAACAGCACCTTGAGAAATGAAATTTAAAAATCCCCTGGATTCCCCAGGTAATGTTATAATGTGCTAGTATGTATCACATACTAGCACATTATGCAGGCGTACCTTAAAGTGGAGTTCCACTCATGCTGTAAAAAAATAAAAGTCAGCAACTACAAAAACTGTAGCTGCTGACTTTTAAAAAAAAGCCATTCACCTGTCCCACGATCCCGCGGTGTCCTCCCCGCAGCCTGTTTCACTGGCCGTCCTGTGTTCCCTGCGCCAGCATCTTCAGTGTGGGCACCCGGCTGTGACAGTTTGCTGCTTCACAGCCGGGTGCCCACTGTTCATGCGTGAGTAGCGCTGCACTTCCAGAATGGCCCCGTAGCCTTTACAACTACCGTATTTTTCGCACCATAAGATGCACTTTTTTCCCCCAAAAACAGGGGGGAAAATGTCAGTGCGTCTTATGGAGCGAATATGGGGCGGCCGGTCCGGTATTTCCACTGCCGCCATGTCAGAATACCGGGCCAGCCGCTCAGCTCTACAGCGGGACCTTAGAGATGACTGCTGACCTTTGGGGAGGGAGGGGGAGCGGGTACCTGAATTTGACAGGTACCCGCTCCCACTTCCGTGGAGTTGTTCTTTCATCTTACCCGTTCCTCTATCCAGCGGCGCGGTCTTCCCAGCTTCTGTAGTGTGGGCATGACAGCAGGGTGTCAAGTGCGCATGCGCAAGAAGCGGTGCTTTTTGTGAATGGTAAGGCGGCACCTGGGACACATGACAGATCCCAGAAGCCGCCGGACCAATCACAAAGCGCAAGTGCTTCTCGCTCATGCGCACTGGGCACCCGGCTGTCATGCCGAGCGCCATTACAGAAGCCGGGAAGACAGCGCGCGGCTGGATAGAGGAACAGGTAAGATGAAAGAACAACTCCGCGGAAGTGGGAGCGGGTACCTGTCAAATTCAGGTACCCGCTCCCCCCCCCTCCCCAAATGTCAGCAGTCATCCCCTGTACTATCCAAAGTCTCTGGTCATCCCTGTGCTGTCCGCAGTCTCTGGTCATCCCTGTGCTGTCCGCAGTCTCTGGTCATCCCTGTGCTGTCCGCAGTCTCTGGTCATCCCTGTACTGTGTCCGCAGTCTCTGGTCATCCCTGTGCTGTCCGCAGTCTCTGGTCATCTCCTGTACTATATCCGCAGTCTCTGGTCATCCCTGTGCTGTCCGCAGTCTCTGGTCATCCCTGTACTGTGTCCGCAGTCTCTGGTCATCCCTGTACTGTGTTCGCAGTCTCTGGTCATCCCCTGTACTGTGTCCGCAGTCTCTGGCCATCCCTGTACTGTGTCCGCAGTCTCTGGTCATCCCTGTACTGTGTCCGCAGTCTCTGGTCATCCCTGTACTGTGTCCGCAGT